GTGAACTTGTAGATACAGTTTGAAGTAGAGTCCACAGAATTTCGTCCTTTAATCGTAGGAACAGGGATCGAAAATGTTCGGCAAGTGAGAAAAAGAGATGCGGCGTAGAATGTGCGTTTGATGGCTGATCGAAGTCTTTGAGTTGTCAACTGCATAATCTGGTCGCCCTTGAATAGTGGTAGGTTAATAAAGATGGCTTTCTTTGGTACAGAAGCTGTCTTTTCGAGATGTGGTTTTTTCTTTGCTGTGACAAGTGATAAAGCTCTCCGGATAACCATTAGCTAATAAAACTGAATGTACATGTCGAAGCTCATCCATCAGTGTGTCACTCGTGCATATTTTTCGGGCCCTTGAGAACAAACATTTCACTAGGGAACGTTTATACTGGATAGGAACAAAACTGGTAAAATGAAGATATTGTCCAGTCCATGTTTGTTTACGAAAAATAGAGCGCTGAATCGTTCCATCATTTCTCCTATCTTAATATGATTGGTCATTAGTATGTACTTTTGTTTTTATTTAACTGAGTAATTTTCATGAACTTTATTTTATCATTGTTAACCATGTTAGTTGTAAAGCGGTTGTAAAGAAACTACGAAATGATATCATCTCGCGAAATTTGTCTTCTTAATGCCTTGTTCAAATTTATCAAAGGGACTAATTGTTTTAGTTTATACTCAGTAAATACTTCCATTCATATGAATACTAGCAACATTGTTCGTCTAAAACATGCGGTATGGCACATATTTTCAAGTATAACACTATACTATTATTGATTTTTGGCTGTTATTTGCTTTGACATACCTGTAAAAATCTAGTGAAAACAGTCTTTTGAAAATAAGTGTGATTGTGTTCTCTGGACTGGGTAAATCTATCGAGAAGCTTTCATTGTCAATCTTGGAATCATCGTATACTTCAGTGGGAACTCATTTCGTTTCATAGGGTTCTTCCCCGCTACATACAGTGCAAATAACAGAACACATTAGATGTCAGTCTGACATAATTTCTGATATACTTTAAGTGAATAGCCAGGTCACTTTGGCGGAGGAGAACAGAAGCATCAAAAGTGCAACGCAGGAAGATGGGATAACAAAATTATTTAAAAAACAAAATATGTTAAACAAACAGGATGTAATGAAATCAACATTTTCCTGTAGAACTTCTCAACAGGATTATATTTCCCATGAGAAATACATGAAGAGATACGTAACTGATAGCTGTATTACAATGAAATAATCATAGCAAAAGCAAATGTAAAAAGATCTTACAAGTCAGCTTCAGATAGGTAATGGGTGGATGGAATATAAGGGATTGGAAATTGAGGTGACACTGGATTACATTCCAATTTCGTAAACATAACAAACAATTAGTTATGAGAGACAGAAATCAAAGATATGAGAAAATGAAATACAGTTAGCAATAATAGTATTCTGATGTGGTTTTGTTCTCTGAGCTGGATAGTTAGTTTGCGAAGCTTTCATCACCTTACTGGGTGACATCTTCAGCGCATACTTCAATTTGAAGTATGCGCTGAAGATGTCACCCAGTAAGGTGATGAAAGCTTCGCAAACTAACTATCCAGCTCAGAGAACAAAACCACATCAAAATTATCCACCTGAGCTACAAATCTTCTCTATCATATATAATAGTATTCATACGGACAGTGAAACGAGTTAAGGAAACGATACTGACAAAAGTTGACTTCTAGCAATATGAGAAGCATAGTAGGCGATATAAAGCAGCATTAACCGAGTAATTTCTCTGACAAAATGCACAGAGATGCAGTGTCATTTATTTTGCTGCTGATGCTTAGACAGCAGTGTACTGTTAATAACAAGTGCTTTGCTGGGATACATCTGTAACATATATACTTGAGGAAAGGTATTACGAGGAAATGAAAAGTGTCAGGCGAATCGAGATAACTTCATTCCGATAAATTATAACCAGCTTTCCACTACTTTGAGTTTTAATCACTCTCTTTAGTGCCACCACGAAAGTTAACATTTCAAAACTGCAACGTTGCAAGTGGCCATATGCAGGTATCCTTCGATGAAATGCTCGAATCACATGGAACTAGCGAAATAATGATAAAAACTGTTCTGACTACCTTCAGGTGGCGTTCCTGTTTTGCACAAACCAATCCTTACGCATGGAGATTCTGTACATCAGTCAGTTATAGCCGGGTGCAAAACACTGATTCTTTAAAAGTTAAATTGGTATAACTAACGTATCCAGGCTTATTCGTGTGTAGGCGTAACTAATGAATATGACCAGTGGGAAGCTGTAATTTCGAATAATTTGTCAATGCAGGCTGAAACAAGGCTGTATCAAGGTGGCTGTTTGTATTTTTCATGCGAACTTCAGCTGTTAGTCTTAGTCGTTAGAGAGTAATAGCACTTGTCTTCTCACATCTGACGTAACATAAAACACATTTTATGTATAACAGCTGCGAACCTATTTGATTCACCGGATAAAATATTTCAACATGTTCATATTGATACAGTGGGACCATTACCAACATCAAGTGGATATACACATATTCTTACAGCCATCAACAGATTTACTCGATGGGCTATCACATTCCTGCTAAAAGATATATCCACAGAGAATATTGCTCTGGTTATTTTTTGACAGTTGAGTGCCAAAATATGTGGTACCAACTACGATTACATCAGACAAAGGCGCTCATTTACTATCAACTCTGAATAGTGAGTCTAATTCAAAAGAAGGAGTCAGTCCAAAACGCGATGGTCGCCGAACAGTTTCAGCCTAGCTCTTTTGTTGTACATAACATCGACTTCTTCTTCTTCTTCTTCTATTGAGACGGATGGTAATTATAAAGTGTTTCGATCCGAGTCTGTGTTCTTCTTTTCACGTCTTATCCCAGTGTGCCTGCTATATGTATATATGTCTATATATATATTATTGTCTGTGCTGTTCCATTAAATCTGTTTCGAGAACTAACGAGACTTCTTGGAATGAAACATATCTCGACGACATCTTATCATCCGACAGTGAATGGTCTTGCGGAAAGATTTCTCAGAAAACTGAAAAGCTCCCTGATGGCACAGAACGATACATTTGTGTGGAGTGAATGTCTACCTTTGATTTTACTCGGTATCCGATCTACTATCAAAGAAGACTCAGGATGTACACCAGTTCAACTTGTTCATGGTACTAATCCAATTTTGCCTTGATAGCTGTTTCCCTCAGCTGATTCGACAGATGTGAATATTGCTGACTTCACCAGTCGACTACCTAGACAATTGCTTCAACTTCAACCAATAACACCTCGACAATCTCTCCGACGAGATCAGGTAAACAAACGCCTGGAAACTTGCAAATTCATCTTTCTTCGAGTCGACGCCATCAGAAAAGGATTGCAACTTCCGTACGAAGGTTCCTTCCAAGTCATTAAACGTTCAGATAAACACTTTACAATGAACAAAAATGGAAAACGGGAGAATATTTCCACTGGTCGAATCAAACCAGCCAACACAGACAGCGACCTCGAAGCTACATCGATATCTGCACAACCAAATTATCAGACAGTTGATTCAACTCCAACGGCACCGATTCTTATCCATCGTCAATATCAAACACGTAGTGGTCGGCAAATCAATAAACCTGCCCGCTACATTCATTTTGTGGACTGATAAGAACAATTGCATTTTCTTCGTTTAGATATTATTATCATGACAATTACTATTTTTCGTACACTTTGGTGTCACTGTTACCATAAATGATTATTATCGCTATTTATTTGTTTATTTGTACCTCAGCTACAAGACAGGTATCTGTGTTTTTCAGAAACGACCAAATTTTAATCCACTCTCTTCATCCTCACTAATGACTGTATACATAGATATCTCCGCTTATACATTAATAACCTTCTTTTTTCATAGCTTTGGCAAAGAGAAACCAACCTCAACTAATTGACTTAAACTTCTATTTCACTTTTTGTTGTTGAACTATTTGTAAATGCGTTCAAACTCTAGGCGACCCGAATTCCTTTTCACGTACATACATGTTATTATGTATCCTTATTATTATTGTCATAAAAATGGTTATTGCTATTATTATTATGCACTTCACTAACAGTGACAGTCTCCGGTAGTCTCTCAACTCCTCTGGTGTGGGGGGGGGGAAGGCGTATCCGAATAGCGAAACACAACTGACGTAAATTGTAGTTACTGAGAATTTTCACTAAACACAATGCAGAGAAGTAATTTATTCAGATTTATAAACGTCAGTCAAACGACAGGGTACATGATTCCCAATCTAGTGTGATCAGTTTGAATTGGAAACAGATGACTCACTGTCCCGTTAGTTATTAGGTTGTATGAAGATATTTAGGCTGACAGATGAATCATAGAAGTGCACATCTGATTAGGACTAGTAGAAATTCATATTCATATTCATAAAGAATACAGTCGAATAATTATGCTTGTGAATTTGAGAAGGTTCTTGTGGGAATCAGCTACAGTTTCACTCTGGCAGTTGGGCTGGAAACAGCCATGTACATCTACTACTCTCTGGTCTGTTCACATAAAATAAGTCTGAAATAACATCTTTATGTAGACGTCAGACACTATACATATTTTAGCTAGCATACAGACGGCACTATCCCTACTTCTTGTCACTCCATCAGTGGTTTGAGATACCTAAGAGATGGCCTTCATGTCTTATACAATTCTCATTCAAATTACTCTGAGCAGACAATGACACAGAAATAAAATACGGATCCTATGATGAATCCTTAAAACTTAAACGAATTACAAACATTGATGAACTTAAATCGCGCGCGCGAGAGAGAGAGACAACGGGATATGTTTATAACAGAGGTCAAAGCTTTGAGAACAAGACAATAACTGAGATCCCGGTCACAACGAAGTTGATCCGCTGTCCTCTGAATTCAACTGACAACATACTCCTCACATTTCACTTGTAATCCGTGAAATGCTATTGAAATGACTATGTAGGCGTAAAACACCAAACATGTTGGGAAGAGTTTATTTCTTGCCAAACAGTTTTCATTTACATTCTTTGCTAACAGTTGTGGGTATTGTACAATGATAATTTCTAAAAATAATACAGTCTAGTGTTAAGATAGACTGTAATACAAAAAACCAGTTAGGTACATAACTGTCTCTTTCTTATCAAAAGAGAAGTAGAAAATCTTCGGTAAAAAATATTTTCTCACATAAATTGGAGAAGGTGAGTGATGATGAGATTTCAATAGTCTTGATAAAATATTCGTTATGCATTTGCCGAATTTTACTATTTTTATCACCAACGATATCAAAGAAAGATGTGTAATGAAATTATTTGCACAGAAAAAGTAAACATCCACAAGATATGTTTGCTCACTTGAAAGAGCACAAAACAAAGGACATCTGTGTTTTTTTCAGCATTCGACTACAATTACGGTGTCCATCGCAGTTTTCGTCCGTCACATCCACTATTCCACCATCTCGCTACTCCTGGAACCCAATACGGTCCAAACAGGGGAGAAGTATGTGCTAGTAAACACATGGCGCACTGTGGTTGTGAATCCCAGTCGTGGATAATACCATGACCGTGCCAAGCGAAGTATTCATTGTATGCAGTATCGTTTTTGTCCAAGTAATGCAAATATTCTGCGAGTTTTGCTGGTGATTCAAACTGATCGACGTGAATAAAGGAGTATGGTGGAGCAACCCTCTCGTATTCCTCAATTGAAGCTCCCATCACAATAGGAAGTATATCGTTGCTTGAAAAGATGTAGAAAAGTAAAATGTCAGTCAGAATAATTTGGTATAAAATATTCGAAAGTGTAGCGTAGTCGGAGAGTAAGATAATAATTCGGGACGTAAGAATGACGTAAATTGCTGTCTACAATTTTTGGCTTGCAGCCAGCTCTCTCTCACCACGCTATGACGATGACGACTATATTTGTGAATATGTGTCTCAGTGGTATCCCAGGAATTTACATTTGATGACAGTTGGAATCACTAGTCGGTTCTATCTCTTATGAGACAGATATTTTAGTTTCCGCAGTAATTATACCGTGTCTTATCATCATCAGTGGGGAGACTAACTTATTCCAAGACCAAATAGATATCAAGCCGAATTTAAACAATCGAAAGTTAGACAGATGAGGAATACTGAATTTCAGATTTTTCTGTCGACTGATTGGGCCGATGTGTTTGGTCTCGGGTTTACGTCCAGGTGACGATGCCCAAACAGTACGAACTCCACATCCTGGATTCTACTGCTAGTCACTATCCATCAATAAGATGAAGAAAACGTTTACGAACATAAAATAACAACTTTATAGCTCTTCATTCGGAGTTTTAGTCTAAAATATTACGTCCAATTTTATCATCGGGTGTAGTCAAAATGACTTGGAAATTTAGGCTTTCTGGTAAGTTTATGGGTGTGAAGACCAAGACATCTTGAAAAATTACGCTAATCCAACCCTGCTTAGATGTAAGTTGTGCGTCGGTGGAACAGCGTTTAGGACTCTCGCCGACTACGTACATGGTCCGGGGTTCGAGCCCACGCCGACGCACACTTGATATCTATGGTCGGCCTGCGAATTTTCGGGCTACCGATATCCACGCTGCAAATTCCATACTTGTACCAAAAATACAGTGTGTACCCAAGCTGTAATCAAAAAATAAAAAAATGAAAATAATCATAACTTTCATTAACCGATCATGCTACACTAGCAGGCATATTAACATACTAAAATAGGTGTAGACCGCTCCAACTACAGAGAAAGTAACTTAGTGAGAAAGTCCCTTCAGAAACACAATTAAAATGAATTCATTTCAGAATCGAGAAGATTTAGATTCGTCTGTTGAAAAACAGAAGTAAACATTTAAAAGTGACTTACTTAAGGGCATTTCTGTAGAGTTTCTCGGTTATGTAATCAGAACACAAACTGTTCTCAAAGCTCAAATAAAATTTGTAGTTTTCATGAATCGTGGTTAGGCATTCAGGTGTTGAAGAATATGTTGCTTTATTCTTCGGACACGATTTCGTGCCACACGCACCGTATATGTCAACCTATGAGTCGAATAAAACCCAAGCATAAAATATCTACTAGAAGAAATTACGCGGTAAGAGAACAATATAATTACTCACTGAAGAAAGAAATTCACTACTAACGCGTACTGTCCACTTTAGAAGCAGATATTTTCGCACATTCTCGTTTCACACAAGCAGGTTTCATGTGGCACATAAATAAACCAATCACGAAACCTCAGTGGGTTCTATACGATACAGCGCCGTTTGAAACGTTATTAGGAGTGACATCTAAATACTTATTTTTTTATTACAGCTTGATTCCACACTGTGGTTTTGGTACAAATATGGAATTTTCAGCATGGATATTCGTAGCCCAAATTTTGCAGGTCGACCATAGATATCAGGTGTGCGTTGGCAGGCGATCAAACCTCGGACCATGTGCATGGTCGGTGAGAGTCCTAACCACTGTGCCACCAACGCACACTTCTATTACCCATCAACGAAGAGATAAAACTACCGAGTTCATTGCACGAACTTGCTTGTTTTATGGCGTATCAGAGGGAAATTCCTATACCTGTTACATATAAACAATTATTACTGCACTGTTGTAGTTGGGCATAACTTTGAAAAACTAGTCGAATGCCAATGTTTAGGAAGAAACATGTTCATTTTCTACTCAGTGGAACATTTTGCACATGCTTCCAATGTTTTCTTTCATGGCCATCTAGTCGCTGCTGATATGGTCAGTCAGTATAAAGCCATTTAAGCCACAAAAGACGATTGATCGACAATAAAAATTTACCATATGAAAACAAAAAACATGGTTAAGATGGTGAAAGTTATGAGCGGAAGACTAAAGTGAAGCAGTACGATGATAATAATGAAACGAAAATATAGAACAATTGTGCAGTCACTCACGGGTATATGTTGAGATAATTCTTTGGTATATGTCATTCTAGGGCTTTTCGGACTGCAGTTACTTACAAACCACGCCACCTTCTTAGATCTCCCAGCCGCAAAATTACGAGACGGTGGTGGATATCTAGTCTCCGGTCCGTGAGTTTTGATATATGGCTCATAATAACCATACGAAGAATAAACTGTTGAGTCGAAACGATAAGATATGGTAAAGTTCACCTACAAACACAAAGAAGAGATTGAGAAGAAAACCCAGTGTGAATGTGAATAAATATGTTGAAGTACGTAACACAAGTAGGTGACTCTAGCTGTTGTTCATAGCGCTAGTGACATGCTGTAAACAGTCAACTTTGAGTTGTTAAACAAACTAACCCATGTGGAATGTGGGGTTGTAGAGCAGTCATCAGACAGCTGACACGTCTGACAGAAAAACACAGCAGACTTAAGTGTAAACAATCCGGGAATTTCTATTGTTCGTCATCTAGGAAATACATGCTAGTAAACAATTTCAGGTCTCAGAAAGGCCGAAATTTTCACATGTAAAACTACCAGTTAGGCAAATTTTAAATTTTGGTATGATACCCAGTCGTGAAGATATAAGCCAGCGAATGTTAGGAAAAGTTAACCAACCAACGACCATCGTTGTCAGTTTCACTGACACTGAAATGCTTGATTCATCTATTTCTATGGTCTTATCCTTGGTGTAATTGGTAAGACAGAATATTACCTTTGTAGAATAAACTGTTTACAGCAGAGAATGAAACATCCTGAATTATACACAATGTCAGCTACTCCAACAGATACGTAATGAACTTGAATCATAATTCCTAAAAGTCTCTGGTGTTGTAAAATATCTGACCAGGTATCTTAAAACAACCTACAGCTCAATTCGTTCAAACATAATGTTGTTAGTGGCGAAGGTGTCAATAAGCTTGGTGATTAACATAATAAGGATCAAATACCAAATCTAGGAGAACTTCAGACAATCTAAACATGCCTGTGACACTTGAATTTACTCCAGACTAGAAGAATACTTACTATAAAATTTGAACTTGGCCCAGAAGAATGACACTGGCAAGTCATTTAAATCCCACTACCCGAAGAAGAATATGGACCTAGTGCATTTAAGTTATCTACAGAAATATGAAATGACTTATGAAATAACCACTGGAAATAAAACAACGAGTTGTGTGTGTGTGTCTTGTCAGTTATAAATTTACACTAAAATGTTTCTGAAAATATCATGGTGTCTGTTATTCAACAAACGCTGTGAATTTAATCATCAACAGGAATGCGTTTAAAGACGACATTTATTAAGGTTTAAAATGTGTCTCTCCATAACTCGAGAAACACTTTAAAAGTAAGTGTTGACTAAAAGCAGGTTTTCCTGGATGAGTAATAGAAGCAACTCAGTAAACGGAATTATATTTCAGCTATGTTCAACTCAGACATGCTCTACTACGTTCTGCACTCGCTCACAGTTTCTCATCTCTTTATATACAGCAGTTTATTCCACAGTATATATTTAAATAATAATGATAATAATAATCCCAGAGAATACCATTTCTAACCTCATTCGTCAGCGAGTTTGCCACTGAGACATGTAAAGGAGATTCATGTATGAGCGCAAACCATAATTGTCCTGGTGGACGTATGCTATCTGGTAGTGCATTCGCTGTAAGTATTAATCCATCAGCCTCTCGCCATCTTTCCATTTCATTAATGACATCACACTCCTTCGCATGACAGTAGGAAAAATTCATAGGTGTAAAAATTGTTCTCTTTCCATAATTGAGAAAAATCTTCACCTATAACATGAAAGGAAGGAAACAAAGATACGTTGATCAAGATCTTCATGAATAATCACCGATCTGTTTATTCATCCATCTTTCAGAGAGAATATCACCGATACCGTGAATAATGCAGATATTCTAGTACTTTATGTGGTAATAGCAATGAGAAAGAAGACTTAGAATGACGTTGAAAGCACTGGCTAAACACTTCACAGACACCTCTGACTAGATGTACCGCATCGATAATCAACATAACAACAATTTTTACAAAGAAATACCAGTAGGATAGCATTATCTGCTACCTAGAATATGGTGTTCGGTGTCAGTCAGTAGGTTTCCTTTCCATGTTATTTCAGATCACACTAACATGCTTCAGTGAGGAGATTAAATAAAGTATACTACTGAGAATGGCGATTGAAGTGATTGAATACTACTCGATTTGACTAGTGGTAGACTGTGAAGACTAATCCTGCACACTCAGAGTACTTCGAAGCGCAGCAGTGTATAATGAACACTCAAAAACTATTCCCACACTAAGAAGATATAAAAGGTAAGATTTATTCTTTCAGAAAAAAATGGCGAAGAACCAAGAACTTGCAAGTTCAATGTATAAAAGCTGCATCCTAAACAATTAACAGCATTTGAATAGGGCATTTAGAAGACAAATTTCGCGAGATGATATTATTTCGTAGTTTCACTACAATCACTTTACAAGTACCGTCGTTCACAATAATCAGATAAAATGCCTGACATTTATTCAGTTATATTGAACTAATGACTAATCATATTTAAATGGGTCAAGTAGTCCATGGTAGGTGAAGGTTGGAGTCTATTGTTTTTGTTTTTTTGGACTATGCGTACATAGTTTAGGATGTATGTGATTAAACCACAGTGCTTCCATCACCTTTAATAAACTTGAATTAGAGTTAACTGAAATAGTTGTGAAGCAGTCACTAATATTCATTTTGTGACCTGAAACTAATAATTAGTAACAGCCTACCAATCAATATTCTTTGATGAATTTGTTTGGTCCACTGACCACAGTTTCTCCAAACTCAATAAAGTAGGTAAATGTTGTCGTAAATTTAACATTATATTTTAGATTGCTAAAACCTGTGTACATGTAGAGGAATGGATAATATAGTATCTTGTCAATATCGTTGTCATGGTCACATTTATATTCACTTTATAATGTTCTGGTGTTTGATGGAGAATAACAGATAAATGTTGTTTAGATAGAAGAGTTCACTCACTTTCTTTTCTCCTTTTATTGTGTCATACAGCTGTTTCAGCCTTTCTTCCTCTAAACTGAAATACAGGGGATATTTCTGAACAGCTGATATTGTCTGAGTGGAATATGTTGTGTGTAGGATAGCAGCTAACTGAGATTGATTAGCACATGAATCATATTTGTTTGAGAGTACCGACTCATTTATTCCAGGCGATATCAATCTGTTTTCTGGCTCTGAATTCAAGAAATATGAACCAGGTGCAAGAATTATCAGCCAGATAATCAGGAGTACAATTAACACAAGAGTAATTAATTTGTAACCTTGAGACGCTTCACTCAACATTAGTATAAGTTTTAACAATTGCAACGACGAAATCAGAATTTAGCACAGTTCAACGTCACTGGGGAGAAGGTACTCAGGCTATCATCTGCGAAATGATGAAGAATAAGCTCACTATTAGTCTGCAATTGAAGACAAAAGTTATCAAAGTAGACTCGGTGGAGAATCCAGAATATAAATCTCGAAGATTTCCTGTGAAATGTGGGAAGATTTCTCGGAAGGCATATTTGATAATCTCTCAGAAATATTGGTCTGAAAGTAATTTAATTAAGGACCGAAACAGACATTCTAAGTCAACCTTAGTTATAGGCAGTATCCATTACTTCGTGAAATTAAGTTACTGATATGTGAAAACGCAGAGTTTATGACCCAAGGAAAATTCAATGGATTTTCATGAAATATGAATATTACTGCTGTCATTACTATACCAGAAATCACCTGTCACTGAAATGTACTACAGTAGATAAACCTATCAGGAACTAACTATTAATATACGTCTCGGTTTAAATTAATGGCTTTAATTTCTTCTCTGTCAAATTTTCATGAGTTTACTGACCTTCATAACACTCATTTTCATTACTGTATTTAATACTTGATATCAATCTGTTCATTCACAAATTGTCATTGTAAACGGCCATATCTAAACAATAATTCATCAGATTTAATGTGAACACAGCTAGTCTCCTCTAGTTTTCCTGATAGTTAGGGCACATCAGTGATCTGAAGAAGCCCAGTGCTTAGAATAGATGAAGCTCTTTCGGCATAGTGATAGCTTAACATAACACTCCCCTACGAACCTCTACACCTAAGGCATATCAACTATTACGAATGAATCGAATATGTTTAATAATCGATTAGGTGCGTCGGTGGCACAGTGGTTAGGACTCTTGCCGACCATGCACATGGTCCGGGGTTCGAGCCCGCACCGACGCACACCTGATATCTATGGTCGGCCTGCAAAATTTGGGCTACCGATATCCATGCTGAAAATTCCATACTTGTACCGAAAATACAGTGTGGAATCAAGCTGCAAATCAAAAAAAAAAAAAAAATACAATTTCGGATTATGAATAAGTATCTCTAATCAGATAGTCGAAGACGAAATAGTTTATAAAGTGACTGAATAGTTGAGCGGAAAGTTGCAAACTTCATGTATATATATATATATATATATATATATATATGCACATTGAGACTACTTTGATTCTGAAATAAGTCCTTTTCTAACCGAAGTCAATTGAAGAAGAACCAGAAATCATGAAGCATTAAAGAGTTGTTTCTCTTTCGCTGAACACTATTCGGCAGTGAGCACTCATGTCCCTACGAGTAATCGAACGCAGAACCTCTACACTACTCAGTTGGAATCCACTGGCCCACTGACTCCTAGAGTACTAATAAGGAGTTGTGACTTGTTTGAGTTACTGAATCACCTGTGAACTCATGTACTAAGAGATGACACTGAGTTCAACTGGAGTTCCATCACAAGTAGACAGAAGAAGGAATTTATGTGGCACCGGATTGGTAAGCGTACTACCCTCATAAACGGTATGTTATGGGTTCGCCCACTTGTACAGTCATACTGAGTATTCTCCAAACAGAGAGTAACGTCTATCCAGTGATCCATGATTTTCAGTAGATTTTCAAGTTATTTGCGCTCATGATGAAATCCCTCATGCTTTGAGCCTTTGTAACCTCATTTCGAAAGTTTCACACCAGTAGCTTTCTTCTAAAACTCAGCAAATGTCACAATTAACGTAGACCCTACTGAACAACATTCGTTGCTACAAAACATTATGCTGACCAGCAGGACTACAGTAGGTGCCCAGTAGGCTTTTCAGAAATCAGGTTTCGTATTTTGCTACAGGATATTATTCTCAACTACTGAATTTTAGTCTACAGTTCTCTTTTAGGGAGAGAGAGAGAGAGAGAGCTAACGCTTATTTCAAGTGACCGATTTTGAACAGAAAACCATGTATGTCTATTTGTGAATACCACAGATATATGAGGAGTGTTTGCCGATAATATGTAGTCTGGTACCCCACTTAATTGTCTCTTCAAGTGAGAGATTTAAGTACATCTTAAGTGAAGTATCCTCATGAGCCAACTGAATTCATCCAAGCACAAAGCTGTTTCATCAGTCAATTCCAAACATACGACACTAATATGAATGTCAAATTATGCAGATTAGCGTCGGTGATTCTTGGAGGATGACATTTGTTAACACAGTGGTGGTGACCGCTGTAGATATAAGCATAATGGAAAAGATGCACAATTTGATCACCATCAGAATAAAACATTAGGAAACAAATAATAGCACTTATCGAAAGCACACACATACCCACACAAACTGCCATGATGACTTCTCAATAGTTTCATTCTTGTTACCGCAGTCATTCACTATTTCAAGTAATTGTCAGTTCAATCACATTAAATCCATAACATCAAAATGAATTTATCTAGGTAAGTAAATTAATGAGCGCATTGTATTTATATATATATATATATATATATATATATATATATATATATGCGTATATAATTTACTATAAATCCATGGGGTTCTATTTGCTCGTTAGTATCCTAACAGTTCATGATAAAATCATATTAGATAATTCCGATGAAACTTACAAAGAAGAACTTGTTGCCATTAAATGTAAGTGCAAAATTAGTTCTCTCTGCAAACTCTTCCAAAAATGACTTCGGCTGAAACGATGTAACATTCCTTACATTCTTCATAATAATGTTGCTTTCAAGCGATGATGCAGGCATGGCTGAACTTTTTAACAAGCACTTTTCTTATTCATACATGCACGATATTCCTGCATGTTCTGACACTGACTCTGTAACAGACAAAACACTGTCAAACATATGCCTGATGGTCGATGATTTTAAAATTGTAATCAGTTCATTGAAATTCTTCAATAATCCAGGATATGACTCAGTCCCCTGACTAAATTCAATCCTTTCGCTTAAAATATTTCCAAAGTCACTTATGAAAGGCATTCATCCTTCTTATAGGAGTAGATATATATTATTCCCATATACATATCCGGTTCAAAATGTGATGTGAAGCATTATAGACATATCCATACAGCATTTGTTTCGCCAAAGATATTTGGGAAGGCAATCACTACTAAAATCACCGATTTCTTATAAACTGAAAACCCCACAATATCTTCTTGATACGAGTTTATAAAGTTCAGGTCGTTGTTTGACATGTCACTTGGATCTATTCGACATTATCACTGGACTTACAGAAGGAAAATTCGTTGTATTTATGATGTACATTGGTCTCGGGAAGGCATTCCATAACACATATCATGGTTTACTTTTGAAAAATCTAAAAACTTGTGACATATCTCATGCTCGTTTACAATGGAGCGACTGATTTGTGTGCGTTTACATATATATACTGATGCACCATCATACAGTGGTTTCGGTTTCCCTTCTCATCGCCTTTTACTTTTTTATTTGTTGAAATCTAAAACGTAGACTATAACCGTCTAATTTTCCTACATCTTTGTCAATTATTTTAGAAATGCTGTAGCAGTTGAGACATCCAAGATGATCTCCAGAAAGTTGTCTTCCATACCATGAATTTCAATGATAGTTAATAAACGAATGTACAAACAGTCTGTGTAGTACATAATAATAAAAATGAAGAATTTTTCCGAGACTTTGAATGTTAAAAGGTGGGAGAGTATTGATAGCTATTCAGCGCATGTGATGGTGGGGACATATTCCTCATATCCTGTTATTGTGACCTAAACAGTAACCCCAACTAATTTTTATTATATTCTTGTTCGACAGTCCTAATAAACATATATAAGTGAGATTGTACAGCTAAGTGAATGAATTCGCCGAAAACAGACTTCTCTGAATTTTGTTGTTCCTATACTCTCAACTATACCGAATATTTCAATCTTTAATTCAAAAGAAATACAAACCTCAGTTTCGAGGGGCTTCAATTATCACACCTTGGAAATTTACTTGTTTAGTAGCAACTGTCTTCTAATACTTGCAGTACTCAGGTAATTTAGACCACTGCCTTGTTTGTGTGCAGACAATCAGAGTGTCCAAATTAAAACGCTATTATTGTGAATGCTGAAGTGAAGAACCAGAGCTAAGTAATGCCGTATAATGTCATTCAAACAAGCAGTAGCCTATGATGCACCACACCCAGTGTCTGTAAGTTGGCAGTGAAATCAAGGCTTTGAAATTCCATGCCATGGTAAGTGTTCACTGTGGTTACAAATGCATTTGTTCGCATTCTTGTTGTTCAAAAATCTTAAGGCTGAGTAACTCATATGATGCTAACTAGCTTGTACTACTTTAAAGAATCCACTGTGTTGTTAGGTTCATATGTCGAGGCAATATGCCTTGTAAATGCAGAGAACGTTTCAGTCACCCCTTCTGACTTGAACACACTGCCAATGATGATACTAACAGACTGCACCACTGGTTCTCTCACCAATACAGGTGAAAACTGACTCAAATTGTAGTGTCGCTGAGATAAAAACTTTAAAAAAATGTGATCATTACCAAAATGTAGGTCTAAGACGTTTCGGAAACGTACTAGTCACCATATAAAACAAATTTAGGAGGCGTAAGTCTTATTATGATGATTAGCACTCTGTTCTTAACAAGACTGTTGGAAATAAGCACATTAACTATCTCATTCCAAAAGCAAGGAAATACATCAGTAGGTAATGTCTCGAAGCATACACCATCTTCTGGATGTGTATGCTACAATAGTGATACGATATTTCAGGGGTGTTATGCATAACGCAACAAAGTACACTGTTTAGGAATTTGTGATACTTGGGGACTCGCAACCTATCACTTCAATGGGCGAAGTTATTTATACGACGAACAAACGAAGCCGAATCTGGGTTCCCTAGCATTATGATGATGAAAAGTGACGTTGTGTCCTTGTATGCCGACTTCTGCCTGAGATTTAACATGGAAAATGCAGACTGGTGTGCACAGGTAACAACAGTCTTAACTCAATCTCTGAAGTAAGTGGATAAAGCCACCAAAACTCAAGTCACTCTTAGATCTAGCTTCAAGACACTTTAGGGATGTAGCTTTGTGAGAACGAATTGACTATAACATTGTTACAGACAATGTACGAATAACTCCAAAGATATAGACTCGTTCACAGTCTTCAACGAAATCTGAAGTAAAACCAATTGGTTCCCAGTAGACTTATACTGAAGCCGAAACCGCTGAAAAAACTGCAAGATTTATTGTTTTGTTAGGCGAAACGTATCAGATGATACAAATCCTCAAACATGAGATTACCCAGCATCCAAGTACCAATGTCACAGTGGCTGAACACAAAAGTGGATCACAACTAACAAAAGTGTGCGTTCGAACAAAGGATGTACGACAGTCCGATGAACGACGAAAGGTCTAATCAACACAAAATGTAAATTGGGGTATTAAGCACAACTTTAGTGTTTGCAGGTACATTATTAGACGTAAGAATATCTTTGAAACACGAGGGCTTCTAGAGTGGATCTCTGTTAATTTTTTACTGTGAAACAGAAGTTCCACTGTAAAAAAAGTGTGCCTTAACCCAATTTTAGAAAACCTCCCACTTATTTCAAATTGACTTCTACTGAGTGTAGCACCAATTCGCCTAAGAACACTCGAGTCAGAATGGGGTTTCGGCTACAATGAGCACTGGAAAACATAAAGATGGAGATAGTTTTCACAGTACGGCGTAAGTCAAACCCTATCCGAACAACAAGTTAGCTGGCCAACCATCACACTCCGCTGGATCAATAGTTAAACGCGCTTTTGGAATAAGTTAATATCTTGGGAACTAAAACCCAGCTCTTTGAAAGAATCGCCTGACTAACATGCGGACCAGTCTCTTATTGAATATATGTTTCCAGACCATAGATGTTACGAATTTCCTGGAATAATTCGAGTGCCAAGAAAGATTGAATCATTAGAATTATTTAAAATGATCCCAGTGTGTTCAAGAAGAAACCAAAACAAGATTTTTCTGAAGGTTTCGCTGTGTAGACCACAGTTTCTCCAGCCGAATTATTCAGATTTTTATTAGGCATCAGAATATATAATCGAAAATTACATAAACTGAAGTCAGTTCCTTTGAAAGTCACCTGTCGGTAGGCCTGCCTATGTACCAATCGAAAAGTGTGAACGGTAATTGCATATTTGTAATGATTAGTTTCGAATTGTCATCTTTGCGTATTTCTCTGTGTGAGTGTGTGTGTGTGTGTTGTTTGTTATGTGGAAAATACGTCAAAACATTATGATGTTTCATACTATGATGATAATATAAGATTAATTTGTTTGTTTTTCGCCTTCATCGGTTTTGCTTCATTCTAGTCTGTCATATGGGTGATATGCAAGGCTTCAGAGGTCAACATTTCTTTGTGTGAATGAAAGCCTCTTCCTAGAGTTCTGACACTGTCGAAATCGATCTTATGTCCACTGTCTATAGCATGCTTTGCTACAGCTGACCGTTTTTCTAGACCTTTTAATTCTACTTCATTTCTGAGTGGACATTTCGTGCATAGTCTGTGTTCATTCACTCCGACTTTTAGCCGTCTACTGCTCTCCCCAATATAAGAAGCTTCACATTCTGAACACTTTATCCTATGGACACAATTGTTTTGTGATGTTTTGTGAACCGTATCTTTAGTACAACACATTTTAGAGAACAATATTGTTTTCATTTAGATCTCATCAGTCTTAACTCTAATATATATAACTTTACAAATAAAAATTTTTTTATAAACCAATCATGGTGTTTTGTCTATAGAATAATAAGATTGTGCATATAAATTGTGCAATTAGTCATAATAATAGTAATGACAATAATAATGGTTGTATCAATAATAACTATGAAATAGTGAGGCGATCTGCGATAACAAGAACAACGAAAAACAGCATGATTAAACAAAAAAATGTTCAGGTAGAAGCAGTCGATAAGGGCTAAGAAAAACAAATGAACCGATTAAGTAATGCTAGACTGATTGTAAGGGGAGTAAATGAAATACGCTTTATTGAAGATGTGATAAGATTAGAGGATGATAAGACAGGGGTTGAGAATTTAAGTGAGGGTTGTTGGAGAAGTCATCAGTTGGTTATGTCTTAACAGGCCAAGGGAGGGATAGTGGCTTTTTCGGATAGTCATTTCCAATCAACATTTCCTTTATTCCGGAGATCTCGTTCTCCATATCATCATTATCCATTACAATGTTTCTAGGTATGTTAACGACATTCATTCTCATTGGATGATCTGATAGGAAATTGAAATACTTGATTTAATGTGTTGGTTTCCTGCATATCGTGAACTTTGGTTTCTCGTCAGTTTGTCCTTGCACAAGACAATCCAGGAAGTTTAGAGTTTCTTTGCTCGATTGTACTTCATTAGTAAACTCTATATAATTTGAGCTTAAGTTAATCTGTGCCAGATAGCTTTCTAAACACTTTATCCTATAGACACAATTGTTTTGTGACATTTTGGGAACTATATCTTTGACATTCACCAAAGCTTCCTCTAGAGAATTAGAAGGCTTGAAATAGACTTTAATATTATATGCAGCAAACAGTCCTTGAAATTGTTCAGCTGTTTCCTTTCCATATGCAATGGCTATTGTCGTTAGCCAAGAATTTTAAATTTCCTGTTTTCCATTATTCTCCTTTTTATTAGTAATATTACCTAGTAGTCTTACCGGGTTAACATTTCCAATCAATATTTCTTTTATTCCGAAGATCTCGTTCTCCATACCATCATTATCTGTTACAATGTTTCTAGTTCTAGATACTGAAACTCTCATTCTCACTGGATGATCTGATTGGAAATTGAAATACTTGTTTGAATGTGTCGGTTTCCTGTATATCGTGAACTTTGGTTCCTCATCAGTTTGTCTTTGTACAAGACAATCCAGGAAATTTAGAGTTTCTTTGCTCGATTGTACTTCATTAGTAAACTCTATATAATTTGAGCTTAAGTTGATCTGTGCTAGAACGTTTTGTTTTTCAGCTTTCTTAATAATGATTGTGTCCTTTACGTATCTTATCTATATTAGAAAATTTTGTTTTTCACCGTTTTCAGCTTTTATAGCTCTACGGATATGTGCTTTCTACTATGGTGCAGATATGTAAAGGACACCTTTTTTGATTATTAAGAAAGCTGAAAAATAAAACTTTCTAATATCGTAAAGGAATGTAAAGGACACATTCTTATTTATTAAAAAAGCTGAGAAAGAAAACTTTCTCAAATGGTACGATATGTAAAGGACACATTCCTAATTATTAAGAAGTCTGAAAAGCAAAACGTTCTAGCACAGATCAACTTAAGCTCAAATTATATAGAGTTTACTAATGAAGTACAATCGAGCAAAGAAACTCTAAATTTCCTGGATTGTCTTGTACAAAGACAAACTGATGAGGAACCAAAGTTCACGATATACAGGAAACCGACACATTCAAACAAGTATTTCAATTTCCAATCAGATCATCCAGTGAGAATGAGAGTTTCAGTATCTAGAACTAGAAACATTGTAACAGATAATGATGATAAGGAGAACGAGATCTTCATTAGTATTCATATTGGTTGAAATTAACATCTTTGGTGGCTTAACAGTCAGACTCTCGTTACTTCATTGAGTTTTTTAACACTCATTTTCACTCGTGTATTTAATGCTTCGAATATAATTTAAAGAGACACAAGCTGAATGATATAGTATCTGTTCTGTCAAGGACATTTGGGAAAACAATCACTACTAAAATCACCGGTTTCTTATAAACTCAAAACCCCACAACATCTTCTCGGTACGGTTTTATAAAGTTCTGGTAATGTTTGACATATCACTTGGGACTATTTGACTTTATCCCTGATCTTACAGATGAAAAGTGCGTTTTACTTATTACGTATATTGCTCTTGAGAAGACATCGCATAAGAAATGGCATAGTTTACTCCCAAAATAACGAGAATCTTACGCAAAATATCTGGCAATCCTTTACAGTGTTGAGACTCATGTATGTGTGGTCGGTCCCAGCCTGTTAAGATTAACGACACATTTTCTAATAACAATCTAATATCAAGTGGCGTAATTCAAGGTAGTGTACTAGGGCTCTCTCTTCATTCTTATATATCCAAATGACATCTGTGATGCTATAAAGCATCTTATATGCCGATGACTTAAAGCTCGTTCACCTCACAACCGCCTAAGAAGTGACAATCTGTTTTATAAAAGGCAATCGGATTTTGATAACACTGAAAAGTGGTGTGAGTGATGGACAGTGCAGATCAACGTGGAAAATTGTGGTCTCTTATGCTCAGCTTGTCTTTGTATCCTGCCACACAACAATATGCGACAAGCCAATCACGATTTCATCTTCTGTACTTGACCTCGGGCTTGGCTACTCTGCTGATTTCAAATCCCCTTCCTAAAGCCAGGAGATTACTTGGATTTAAATTTCATAACTGTCGAATACAGAGTCTAAAGTGCTGTTGTATAAAACACACATACTCTTCATTTATCTTAGATAGCGCTTCTATTAAGGATATACTGAAAGTTGAAAGTGTCGAAAGGAAATTTAGAAATAGAATTTTCGGAGCAAGTCTAAACGTTCTCTACAACTACTGTTACACAACTCTTAAGATCCAACCCCTTTGGTTCAGGCGTCAGGATCTTAAGCCCATTCCCCTATTTAAAATTGTCAGAGGAATGGTATACTTCCCCAATAACAACCTTTAATTTACTTCCTCGACATATGAACTACGTAGCAACGGGTCTTCTTAAATCACGTCCTTTGTCGAACGAAGCCTCGTTCAAACTTCTTTACAGTTGAACATAGGGCAATATGAAACTTCTTGCCAGCACCACAATACAAAGATTCACTTATTCCATAAATAAATACTTCCCCGGAAATGGTCTCGACACAGTTTGTCAGACACTAAAAACTAGTGATAGTGTTTCTTTTCCCTTTGACTTATGTACTTAAACAGCTCTGTTCACTCAAGGCATTAACAGAAACCCCCAGAATTATCATACTTATTTAACATAATCAAGGTTACGCTAGTGGTGTATTAAGTTCCTTTTTCAGTGGATTCAATTACTTGCCTAACAAGTCACAACTCAAAATATCCACAATCCTCTCGCACAAACATCGGTTGGAATACACAGCCTAATATACTCACTATGGTAATTGCGCTGAATCTAGATAAACTACCCTCCATGCAACCGCATTATTTCCATCGCCTGCTAAACTCTACTCACTTCATTTTTTGTTATACTTTTCGAGTCATTCAACTACATTTAACTCCAGCTGCTGACTGCCAAATCAATCAAATACTTCGACATATATCCCTGAAAGCATTGTATGTGAGCACTGCAGTGTGGTAAGAGTTCTTTCTCAAGATCGAGTAGTAATAGCCTGAATATGACTGGGAACATAGCATCCTCTGGTGACTACTTAATGCTGTGCGTAAATACCATCTCCATCTACCTAAATTCTCGCCCAAATGGTGGTCGTCAAAAAATTTACTCAACTACACGGTGAGTCTTGAGTACTAACGGTATTTGATTCACTTTTCCATGATTATTATGCTAAGTAGTCGAATGCTTCGTAACTATGTATAATAATTCACTGCTATCTCTCTCTCTCTCTCTCTCTCTATATATATATATATATATATATATATATATATATATACTGCTACACTGATATAACCGATTACAAATTCTACTTTAATAGCATTTTGAGCATTCAAACAAACAAACAAACGGATTCTTAAAGAATAACTCCGTTCATTTATCGGTAAATACAATCGTGAACAAACAAGAAAATTAAAAGTGTAGTAGTCTAACCTGACTATTTGAGATGATAACCATATCAATTTAGCCATTTATCCTTTGAATAAGAGTACGATTAACAATTAAGACAGGATCTTTTGATGTACACCTCGGTATCCTGAAGAACTAAGTTTGTGTGCATTAGTATACTGTATCCATTTGACAGATAATCTCTGTTATGGGGTCTAATCAAGCCTTCATGACATTATTCAAGCACAAAATTACTAAATAGACGGTGTTTACTTATTCACCTAGTTATGATAACAAAACTGAATGCAACAAACTTGGGAGGCGCACATAAAACATTCTGCTACTGTATCTTGTTTCCTATTTGAATCTTACTGATAGTTTCAACAAACGCTTGTGATTGAAAGACGAGTAACCGATTCGCGTATACGAAATAAAACAACTCCATCATAGACAAGATTTTACTTTGATAGATCACACAGTAATATTAACTGATTAACTGATGATCATTATGATTAACTGTGTTATTTATCAAAATAAAAATATCTTGTCTATAATGGAGTTATACTCAACCACAGTGCCCAAGTTTTATACTTATACAAATAAAACAACAGTTGAATGTCATCTTTGATTTCTGCAAACCAAAGCTTGTGAAATCTGACGAAATTCATTGAACAATATTGTTCACGAATAAACAAACAAGAGTTGATGTTTACGCCAACTATAAAAAGCAGACACGACACCGATTGTTCAGCTAAATGACCCTGACGAATTATTCAAAACTGTCTTATAAGAAACCGACATTTAGTAGACCGAAAAGTGTATTTAACTACACATGTATGTAGTAAAACTGATTTACAAAGTATGGGTCTGTTATAAGCTGGAAAAGTGTGCCTTAGCTTCTCGTAGGTGTCGTTAACTTCATATCAAACGAGTCACTACACATGAATTCATTTTGAAAGATCAACCGTCTCATTGATTATCTCAGGCGAATCCGTTGAAACTAAAGTGTGATATCGACTGTGTATAGTTGACACGTTTATTATATAATAGAGCATAACAAACACTTCATATTAAACATCGACGATTTGTTTTATTGTTCAACAGAATATCAGTTATCACACACTATTTATTCTCACCTTACTAACAAATTTAGGATTTGTTTCCATCTCAAATGAAGGTATATAAGAAAACACCATTCACACATGTTTATGTGTATTTGTGTATTAGTCATTATGATGTGGCTTGTTTTCATGATATCGTTTGCATATGAAGTGTGGAAGCTTCCTTTGCCTAGTGAAGACCTACTATTGTCATAATACGGCTCACTATCACTGAATACACACACAGACACAGATGTGCCTGCAATATATAGGTGACATACATCAAAGTCCGAACACTGAAGAACACTAACTAGATTGTAAACAGTGTTCATACTACGGAAATCTGAAATGGCGATTAATACGAAGTTAATTCATGTAAAATTAAACACTTCAGAAATATGTGTAAATATTACTTACAATACAATATGTAACCGTACAGTGACGAAAGAAATCATGAATGCATGTGTGTTAAATTTATTTCAACTTGATAAACAAGTGGATGGAAGGTGATTAAGTGAAATGTACAGAACATTCTTTTATCAACCAATGAAAAATGTAGAATTGAAATAATCATTCTAATGGATGAGAAATGGTAGTTGATTACAGCCAATGACTTGGGTTTCTCATAGATTATTTCAACATTAAATAGACGTGAAGAACTAGTCTGTATTCTAGGCATGATGAATAAAACTTTCCTTGTCTATTTAATAATCGCTCAGTCAATATACATAAGATAAGAATAAAGATAATTAAAATGATGGACTAATGGGGTGGAGTTGAAGTGGATGAATTACACTTTTGAAATCTTGACACCAAGTGACTTATTAAATAATCTTTAGAAGTTTTGTAATTCATCTACTTCAACTCTATCCCCTTCGTACATCATTTTAATTATCTTTATTCTTGTCATATATATATGATAATGTTAGGCGTGGGCTAAAAAGTATCAAGAGACAGAAATATGATCAATCTGAGTCCAAGCTTGATTCGCAGAACTATGACACCTGGTAGCGCTACAGTGATGGCTGTGCCAGAAGCTATTGCTAGCTAGAAATAGGCTGTGATTATCTAACCTGCCACCATGTAAACCCCGATGACCACCTAAACCATTCTCCTTTGAGCTTAGACGCCCGACCTGTGCATTTAAGTCCCCACTCAGCACTACGATATCCCTCCGCTCAGTTGGTAGTGGAACTCATCCTTAATTGCATCCGAGCTTCAGTCCGTCGGTGCATAGGCAGAGACAACAAATAGACACCACCTATCTGGCCTACCACTCCTAACTTTCGTATAACCTTCCAGCCTCACAGCACATAAACGACAGTTACGAGGATCCAGTCGCATAATGTAGCTCCTTCTCTCGCGCTCAGTGTGCCACTAACACCAGCTACCCCACATTCTGACGCCACAAGGTCCCCGGACAAGCACAAGTGATACATGCTATTCCAACTTTTAGATGGAGAGGAAAATCGAAGCAATTCGCTGAGATCTTGAATGCGGGTTTCCGAAACGCAGCAGACATCGATAGAAAGGATTTCCAATGTTCTTACTAAACCTATCTGTTGTCCGATTCGCATCAGTGTCTGAAAATTATAGGTGGTCAGCTTGAACGTGACACGCGGTTTCAGGGTATCTGAGTTAGTTGTCGGCCTGCGGACAACCATTTCGAAGGTTACTCACTGACATCTCAAAACGGCATAGATAGGCGGGGAATTCAGACAAAGGCGAAGGGCTGACAAAAGTGAAGATGTCAATGTCAGCAAAAGTAAAATACAGGAGTCTGTGTATAAAAAAAAGTTGGGAATAGATGTGTCACTTGAAACAGGATTATTGTTTGAGAGCATCGTTAAGAGCACGTGATAAGTTTCACTACCAGTATGATGCCTCATTTCATTGATTGTGTGAGGGCTAAGATACTGCCCGAGCGCTCAGACCGCAGAAGGTGGTGGTTTCAAGGGACCACCCCGCAAACCTTTGACTTGGAGCCTAATCCGCAAGGCAGCGGAGCAACGTCAGGAGCTAAGTTCCCATGGTCACCAGTGACCAAAACAGGTTCATTCGCCATTTGATCCGATTAGATTCTGGAGCCCGCGTACCACATGGTTACTTATTTTAGTTTAACCGCCATCCAAACAACTTACCTGACATCGCAGGACCTGCAGGAACATGATTCCCAGCTAGTTTAGCATGTTGGGCCACTGAGCTAATCAAGCCATATCACAACGACAATGTATCACATCAGACAAACATATATATGTATATATATGAGATGATTGAGCATCACGAGACTAGTAACCAGATAAAACAGAAGGCTTTCCATAATGTTGTTCGTTACCTTAGTGAAAAAGTCTTCTGTTGTCATAGACATGCAGTATTAAGGTCAGTTCCTCTAAGCTTCGACATAAATGTGCGTTTCACAAACAGAAATAACTCTCTCTAGATGATGGAATTAGACAACTTGCTTCAGATGGTTTACAAATGATTTACACATAGTCACGAATCCACGGGAATTCAACTGCTCAATACTTGTCGCAATACAAATGTTCGATACTGAATGGATGCATGAGACTTTCCACTTCAAAATTCCTACTTTCTCATCAACAACCTCTCTCCTAACAAGCACAAGGTGTAATTAGAACCGAAATGGTCCGGCTATGAAATATTCCTCCCTACTGATCATTTTGATCATTCTAATTAATTCCTGTTCAACGAAAAGCATCGTTGACATTCATCTCAGAAAACTGTATTCAGCAGCCTAATTGATATACTGTATGTAGTTTTAACTACTTTGAACAGAACAATGGTTTAGTGGTTGCAATGCTCTCTTAAAATTCATAATACCATACCACTCAAGAGAAATTCTGTAATCCTTCAAACACCTTTAAGTCTATTAGCGCATATGCTATAAGAAGTTACGAGCAAGTGAGAAAACAAGACTTAAAAACGTTCAATTTCGAGTAACGGATTGCTGTGAAAGTCAGAGTCATAGCAGTGAGAATAGTTACGGTCTTTCACGGGTACTAGTATGCTTCGCATTAAGACATTGAAGTCGAAAGTTATCTACGCATCTCTGTAGCTCATCAAAATTCTTAGGACTCATTGATGCTATGGTACTCTTTAATGTTCGTGATAAATTTTCCACCTACGCGTTAGACTTGCTGTGTGAGTACTGGTTTAGTTGAGAAGTTTAGTGCTAGTTTAGCTACAGGAAATGTTCTATCTACTGCTCTATTAAGTCGACATTTTAGAATGTCAGCTGCAATTTCCCCTTTGTAACTTAACTTAAGATACAAAAGTTTCTTGTCTACGGTATCCACCCTTACCCTGTCTGTGGGTATTGACATATACTTTTTTTGGGAAGCTCTGTGGGTATCCATTTTCTTGCAGTGTGAGTTTCAGTTTGTAAATTTCTTCCCTAATGCATTCGTCTGAACATGAATGTAAAGGGAAAGAAAATGATGTCACTGCATATAGCATCATTATTCACCAACATCCAAATTCTTGAAATTGTCAACTACATATGTGACCAGCTGATAGGAAGAAAGATAGATGTAGGAATCTCATCCGAAAAAGTCAAAGAATTATTATTGAAATGCACTATGAATATTCAGTTCATGTTCAATAATGGTTTTTATAGACAAGTTAATGGTGTAGCCATGGGATCACCTCTGGGCCCTATGCAGCGGATATTTTCCTGGCAAAGCTTGAAAATGGTCCACTCAAAGACACGATTAAAGGGCTTGATTATTATTGTCGATACCTTTATCGTTTGTGATAGAAACCTTTGTATCTTAAGTTAAGTTACAAAGGGGAAATTGCAGCTGACATTCTAAAATGTCGACTTAATAGAGCAGTAGATAGAACATTTCCTGTAGCTAAACTAGCACTAAACTTCTCAACTAAACCAGTACTCACACAGCAAGTCAAGGATAAATTACCAGAGATGGCCTCATCAATATGCATTTGTGAATTCTACTGCTTATGTGGAGCTAGTAATACTGACCGTACTCAGAGGGCTTTTTCCATGCGCGCGCGCGTGGACATGTACCAGTATGGTTGAGTAAAGGAGTAACCAAATGCATAAAGAGTGCAGTCTTAGCCCACTTGGTAGATACTGGACACCCGATAAAACTTGAACAAGCGTTCTCAGTTATTTACCGGGTTCCTAGTAATTAGACTACACATCTGCTTTTGACTCAGTACCTAGGGGCCTTTTCTTTAATAAGCCTTCGTTGACACAAACAGGATCCTGGACTAAGAGTTGGTTGCATTCCTATTTTTCTGATAGGATGCAGTATACTGTATATAATGGTAAATCTTCTTCTTCCTCGCTTACAAAATCCGGTGTTCCTCAAGGTGCCGTCCTCTCTCCTTTTCTTTTTGCTTTCTTCCTACACGACCTGCCCCATTCAAACGAAACTAACTTTGTTAAATATGCAGATGATCTGACTGTATCACTGCCTATCACTTCCGAGTCTGACTGCTCCAAACTTAATAGCTTTCTGTTGAACATCAGCAAGTGGTCTAAGTCAAATGGCCTAATGTTAAATCCTTCCAAATGTCAGGCAGTTGACTTTACTTTCAAGCATCGACATGACTTACATAAACTAGTTAGTTCGCATGATGTCTGTAGCATAGATGGCACGGAAATTGAAACCATGTCAAGCATTAGTTTTTTCCTCTGACCTTTCATGGTTATCTCACATCTTATCTATCTCTAAGAAAATGTTTCGTCTTACCTTCTACACTAAAAAGTTAAGACAATCAGGTACCAACCAACCTTTAGTTTTGAAATTTTTAGACTCCTGTATTTTACCTATTGTGCTCTATTGCTCTCCATTAATCTTTCTTGGGTTTCTCAAAAAAGACTATATCATATTACGAAGAGCATTAAATGCTGTGAGTAGAACTTGTGGTATGCCACTGCGTCAGCTCGCCAATAATATAGTCGACAGACACATAAATTCCTGTACGAAATGGGCAAAGGCTATAATGTCAGACCCTCTGCACCCCCTTTATTCACACCTGTCCCCTTGTATCTCATCAGGTAGGACGAGAAGTCAATATAAAAAGTTATATGCTCGTACCACTAAGTACCGAAATTCTACAGTACCCTATTTAGCCCGTACTTTATGTGACGAAGACTCTGTTAGACTTGAAACACATAACTTACTATGTAATTAGCACAGTGAATCGACCCTTTCATTATTCGTCTTTCTGTATTATATGGTGTCACACTTTCTATCGTTTAATTATAACTTTGCTATTTTATTTTAGTTGCTATTACTATTATTATTACAATTTTGTACTTTAAGTATATTTTTCTCCGTATTGCATACAGTAATTTGCTATGTAGCTTATATAACAACGTTTTATTATCATTATGTAATGTTTATTTTTATTATACTTTTTGTCGTTTTTGAGAAAATTAGATGCAATATTGTACTGAATGCTGAAAATTCCTTGCTGTATCATTAATACTGTTTTTGGAAT